TTTGAAATATCAGAAAATAAAAAAACAACGTGAAGGAACAACAAATCAACGAAAAACAAACAACAAAGTCAGTCATACCTGAGAACGCATTAAAAAACATGACTTAATTTTCATTTAGCGTAACTATGTTTATGGGTTAGGGCGATGTTGATTGTTTCAAAACTCCTTCCCCTTTTTATTGTTGACTGTTGTTGTTGTTTTCTATGTGTTCTTTCTGGTTCTTTTATGTTCTTGTGAAGTAAAGCCATTTCAAGTGGAAATAGATTCGATTAATTTTTGAACTTTTTGAGGGTGTATGTTTTTTTGTTATTTGAAGAGTTACTGTAATGACTATTAAATTGTTTTTTGAAATCTTAAATTTGAAAACATTTTCAGTCCAGATCACTAAACTTGTCGAATCGACTTTCGTGATTGTATAAATATATACAAATAGATGGCGCATGCATAGTTTTAATTAGTGTTGTAAAAGGGAATTTTAATTTCACAATTTAATTTACGCCTAAAAGTATGCTTTGAATATTATTTAAGTTTAATCCATTGATTAGTACCATGACGATTAAAATCACTGCCGTATATCATTAATAATATCAGTCGAATAGAGAAAAAGTGCAGTTTTGAAGACGATGGTCACTACAGGTATGATTGGTTCTACATTTGAATTGATCCGAACCAGTTACATCGACATATTCAGTAGTGGATTAAAGTGTCCAAATTATTACAAAATTTTAAAGCAGCTTTAATAACTTTTGATCAGTTTGTGATATCGATACAAAATTTGTCTATTCGTAGCACTCGTATATGACGAAGGGGTGATAATCCGTATAAAAGCGAAGTTCTTCTACATGAGTCCTATTTGCGCCCTTGCTCCGACGGAAGACAAAGATGAGCAGACCAACGACATATTTTACGAGCGCCCGGAAGCAGCATATGACCGATGACCTGGCCATGATACTAAAATTCGGCTACGAGAATTAAGAACTATCCATGAAGAAACATTTCGGGGAGGACCCGGGCCGCCCGGGCCGCCCTCCCTGCGTACGTCCCTGCCTTGTAGCAGGCAAGGTTCGCACTTGTCTTAATGTAACAGCAAAGTTGCTATTTAACACAACATGAAAACTCGTCGCCGAAAGCTGCAAACACAATAGGTAGCAGAGGCCTACTCCGTTCAACTCACCCATTTACTAGTCTAAAGCATTCCTTGTTCCGATAATAATATAGAAGAAATATTACAAAGAATTACCGAATCCCTACAAACTGCAGCAAAAGCCACACTTGGGTAATAAAGACCACCATAAGAAACCCATGATACGATCAGGAGTGTCGTAATGCTACAGAGAAGAACTCAGGGTATATGGCAACCCTGCAGAAAGTAGCAGCACCTAATGCTAGAGACAATTATCGGGAGAAAAGGAGAGAGGAGGAACGTATTTTCAAACAACAAAGATGAAAGTGCAAGAAGAATGTGGGCGTGAGGAAATCGAGATGTACAGGAGTCAGAATGAAGTCCGGAAATTTTACCAACGAGTAAAACACCAAACCGACGGCTTTGATGTAGTGATACAGACAGCAAGTTGAGGATCTGGAAGGAGCAATTTGCAAAGCTTCTGGTATCAAAAATAGCGGTGTAGACGATACCCCAGAACCAATAAGAGGTGACGTATAGATTGTATACCACATCGCCAAGATGTGATCAGAATAACAATAATCGGCTGAAGAATTGTAAAGTAGCAGATGGCGATCGGTTACCGGTTGCCGAACTATTCATAACCGCTGATCATCAGCATTCACGAACTGATTAGTAAAATTTTCAACAGTTAAAATCGGAAAGGATCTCTCGGAGCCCTTCATTGCCAAATGTGCATTCAGACAAGATGACAGTTTGCCGTGTGACCAGAAGCAACGGCGAAAAGAAATGGTACTCTGTACAACAAACAGAACATGTTAGCCGCCTACGTCGATGACATCGACATAATGGGTTGAACTGAATTGAGAAGGAGTCTGCCAAAGTGGAACTGGCAATCAATGGCGAAAAAAACCAAGCTAAGACGTCTAGTAAACTCGGACTAACTGTGGAAATAAATAAAACTAAATGACATCAGTTTTGAAATTCGGAGAACAATAGTGTTGGCCAGCAGATGCTATTATGACCTGAGTAAGAAATTTAAGAACACCTCGAACTCAATGGAAATACAAAAGTCCTGTCACAACCCAGCTTAGGAAGTAAGTAAGTAAGAAAATCTATGGAAAATTCAAACGAAACACATTTGACATAACTGCATTCAGCCCAGATTAATATTGCTGAAATACAATTGAGGCAGTGACTGGATTCACTTTCGTAATTTTTTGATTTATTCCGTGATGGTTGATCTTCGTTACCTAGGTCAGGACATTTACGATCATACTGTATTACATAGAATGCGGAAATGTGGGTACTACAGAATGTGTAGATCGATTGGTCCAGTATTCCGACGACCATTAATCTGGCCAAATTTGGGTATTTTGGGTAGTGTTGATAGGTTTTTCCAATTTCATTGGATGCAACATAATTTGTTATTTTAGACAAAAAGACCGCCATTCGAAATAGTGGGTCAAATCGCATTCCCCATGGACAATTTTAGATGTACGCCTACTAATTGGGGCGTCTAAAGCGACTATAAATGAAGACCAAAAGAAAGTTTTGAGGTTTTATCAATGAAATATCCTCTAATCATAATCGAAAATTATACGAAAATTAGAGCTACAATTCCGCCCTCAAATGCGGTAATGGTAATACTAAACAATATCAGAATATGTTGACACCTCTAAGTATGGAAGTAAAACTCCCACATCCGGTCAGCCACTATGGCCATCAGGAGTATACGCCATAGAATACAAATTTTTGAATTTTTTACACAAAAGTCTGACCCGATAAATATTGACATGCTTATTCTTTGGCACGATTCCCTTCCTGGTGTAAAATTTCATAGGGTTTGGGTCATAAAAATAAACTTTTTGGTCTATTTCATCCCCTAAATATTAAAAAGTTATTATCAAAAATAATTGGGGTCCTCTTAGGCCCTACATTTTGTTACGATTGTTCCATAAAGGCGGGCTGTATCGTGTTTACAAGTAATAATGGACAGGCGAATAGACATACATATCTAGATCGACCCAGTTACCCGACAAATGACGATTGGTATACTAAAAGGTGGGTTAGGGCCAAAATTTCGCGGCGTTACAAACTCTTGGGGCCACACAAAGCTGAAATAGCCTTACAACATAATTATGTAACTTTATAGTTGGAATTATCATTAGATAGAAATCTCCCCACCAAAATGATCAATATCGGCTTAAGATTAAGTGATAGACCCCCAATTACGGTAACCTAATCAAAATTTTTGGTAGATTTTTATAATTAACTCACTCTAAAGTCTTGTAGGTTCATTTTAGGATGTAAAATCTCCCAACAACAATTGACAATATTGGCCCAACTTCCAATGGACGTGACTATATTTTAGCAAAACAAAGTGGCATTCCCGAACTTTGGTGCGTAAATTACTTCACCCTAGATCATTTTCAATATAAGTCCATAAATAGACTTATACAAGGGTCACGGACCATTTTGGGCATTTTATGTTGATAGCCCGAATTTCCCAACCTGAGTGACTGCAGGATGAGTTTTCGGTAGCAATTGTCGTTAATACAGCCTCCTCTTTAAAGTACCCGATCGAGTTTAGGTGTTTAATGGCCACCTCAGGGTGGAGGGTATGAAAAGTTTGAAGGGGCTGAACTTAATAAGGTTTTTTTTTACTTTTTTACCCTCACTTTATTTCAATTAGAAGATTTTTAAAATCTTTTCGAATTAAATTTTCCTTTCAGTAGCAGTTTAAACGAAAACAAAATTTGAAGTAAATATGTATGTAGTGAACGGGGTCAGTTGGTCTATTCGTGTTTATTTTCCGCTGATATGATGATAGTGATGGTGATAGGTTTACTTTGGAAAACTGAGATGGGCAAATATTTTGTTAGACCAGTTACCCAGTTAGCCTGATAAACACTTCTGCAATAAAACAAGCAAAATAATATGGAGATGGAGAACATGAGATATTGACGATGGTGTTATTGTTGTTGTTGTAACAATATTTTAGCATAATTGACAAGGACATTGTCGATATATGCAACAATATGACAGAAGTCAATAGGTGAGGGGTGAGGGGAAGGAATGAATACCAATTGGTTTGGAGTATTGGGTTGTCTACTCAACATCTATTGGAAATGGAAAATATAGTTTGTATTTTGTTATTTTCGTTTGGCATATTAAAATAGCTCACGTGCAGAAATGTGAAAGGCACCTAGCCAGGCAACACGCTGACTAGGTTTTATTATTTCTTTTGTATTTTGGTAGAGAAATATTAAAAGCGCGCGCATCAATTTCTTTTAGTCTAGCAGTCTGTCTGCTACGAGGTGTAGTTTTTTTTTCGTTGCTTCGTTTGTACATAAATACGTCTTGGCAAGGCACATCCTGGTACGGGCATAATAGGTGCCACAACTATGGCATGCACACTCACTCATACACACACACATACAAATAGGGAGTTTGTTAGTAGCTGTTTTAGTGGCTCTTTTCCATATTGCCAATTTCTTGTTGGTAGGAGATTTTTGCATTGAAGTTCAGTTTCGAACAATAACTTGAACGCAACACTCACTCACTCTATACTTCCGGTTAAATTATCCTTGACAAGGCAAGCCAAAAGAAAAAAAAATAAGGAAAACTACAATAAAATCAAATTTATTGGAAACTATATTGAAGAACGCGTTTCTTCTTCCAGTCGTTTTTCCTTTAAGTCCATGTGATCTAAGAGTTTGCGAGAAAAAAAGAAAAAAGTCACGTTAAAGAAATACGCACAAAAAACTACCCACTTCCGGTGGTGGCTCACGTAATGTAATGCATTATTTTTATTATTTGTGTGTGTATGTGTGTGTTTTTGTCGCGTTCTTTCGGAAACCTATAAAACAATAATATGACGACTAGCGATGAAGCCTTTTGCCACGACCACATCGAACATCCGTTGATGTGGTGCGATGAGAAAAGACGTCTCGTTGAACGCAAGAATGCCGAGGAAAGTATGCGTATGTGGCGTAGGCGAAAGACCGAAGAAATGGCCCGCAAAGAAAAGGATAAACAGGAAGTAAGTATGGTTTTTTTGCAAATGGAACGAAAGAAACTATTTTTTTTTTGTACAACACCGAAGAAAATATGCAAATACTTTGAAGAGGATAGATGTCGTGGGATTTTAGTTGGTCATAAAGAAAATGAGCAATAGAGTAGAATTTATGGATTTTCAGAAGAGTTGAGCACTATGTGGGTATGTTATATTTATTGCAATATGATAGCTAAATCCATTAATGTCACATTTAATTAGATATTGTTTTATAAGTAGAAGAATGTAATTTGTCAATTTTAATGACTTCAAGTCGAATGAGTTATTTCTGGGTGTTCGAAAAAAAATATGCATACGCTACCCAATATAATCTTGACTTTAAAGCCTTTCGAGTATTTTATAAATTATCCTATATTTCTAGCTGATAATTATTTTTTAATGACTCTTTCACGGTGAAATTACAATTTTAAGGGCTGTCCACACTAATACATATAATTTTTGTGATTGTATTTTTTTTCAAATACACAATTTTCCCTGTGAGAAATATTGTAAAAAATTTAATTTCAAATTTTAAGGGAGAAAAACATTTTGTATTCAATCCAATAATGTTTCTTTTCGCCTATCGCCATATATTCTATATATGCTTTTGAACTAATTTTTGCCAAAAATATATTAATTTTGAACGGAATGAACGACAATTTTGAAAGAAAAAATTATTATCTTAAAATGTTTATCTATATATAATTGTGTGTGTGTGAAATTGAACACACACCGACAGCCCATGGAACCTATTTTGAGCACTGCTGATATAAACTTAAAAAGTTTGTGAGAGTTCCAGATTTGGATTTGATCTAGGTTTGGTAAACATTTTACGAGTTTGGAACACACCATTTAATCTAAAACATGTTGGAAAGTTTTTCGCCATTTTGAATAAGATTTTATAAGGAGTGCACTAATAAGAGGTCTCATCAGAAAATATCCGTTTTTTTTTCAAAAAAGTGTTTATTTATTGCCCTCTTTAAAGTAATCCCTCTCAGATATAATATGGGGTTTTCCAATCCTCGAAACACTTCTGAAATATTATTTTTAATATAAGCAACGGCTCCTGCTCGCCTTCTTCTTGTATCTCCTAAATCGTAATAAAACGCTTTCCTTAAAATGGTGTATTCAGTTTTGGGAAAAGGGAAAGTCAGTGGGACCAAGTTCGGATAATTAGGTGGTTCCAACATTATTACTTTTTTTTTGGCACATTTTTCCTCAATTCGTTGTTTTCTAACAAATAGCCTGGAACTTTGATTGCCATGCCATAGTCGTTCTCCAGTCGTCACCGGTTATGGACTTTTTGAGGATATCTGGTTGATGAAGTCCAACAGCTCAAACATGAATCGTAGAACTCCCAGTCCTGAGATTGTCATAAGTTCCGTTCCAGAACCTAAAAGAATCTACTCATTTTACATGTTTTGCAACTTTTTACTCGAAACCCGTTCCTCAACCTACAAAACTGGTAAAACATTGACACAAATTTAAGAGAGCACAAAACAAAATGGCTTTCTTTTTGTTAAGTTTTTACTCGAGAAATTTGGTCGAGTAAAAATGGTAAACAGGAATGCCTACTTCTGATTGGCTGTCATGTTGATTTTGAAGTATTGCCATATAATTTTGGCAGATTTACTAGATTTGCGTTCCCGAACTTTTCAAATTATTTTGTACTCTGAGAGCAAATTTGAAATGTTTCCCTTTTTCTAGATTTACTATTAAAAAAGTACTGGAACAGACCAATTATGTTCGAAGACTCAATAAATATTTTATGAGATTTATGATTTTCCTAAATTGTGAACATTTTTCAAAATTTTGCTTTTTGTGGAGGTACCAGAAGTAGTGGACCGATAAGCCCCATCCTCAAACATGGAATAGGGCTTGGTTGAAGTATTAGGTTGTGTATTTTTGGTTATTTGGACTTTGTTTAAGCACATATAAGTATGTATATGCATTGGACCAGCCTAAAAATTATGAAAATACATTTTTTGTATTTCTCTTTCGAGATGAGTTACGTGATCGGAATTGTAATAAATAGGAAAACCAGAGATATCAGGCATATTGTGTAATGTCGTTACTTGATATGTTATAGTTATGTCGAATATTGATGCGAAATTCATTTCCGAATTAAATTAATCCGTGTCAAGGCTCGGCCATTTGACATCCATCCCTTTTCAGAGCAGACTTTTCTTGTAGTGAAGATAAGAAGGTGGCTTTGAACGCTAAGGCGTCGGACAACAATCGAGAGATGCCATAGGATCCAGGGTTCATGTTTTTGAGTTATTTATGTTCATTTCATGCATACTATGTGAATAGAATTGATGCATTTTAATTTAAAGGCTGGCTTATAATATGTTAAAATATAGCTTTGAACATATCGTCATAATAAATGCAAATGGACGTAACTACAGAAAAATTTGAAGTTGACTTTTTGTTTGGTTATTGTTTGCCTAATCAAACTACTTGTTCACACAAAAATTTAGTCATCTAACGTCAAAAACAGTGATCTAATTAAAGAAATTGAAACGGGCATAACTACACTCCTGTAAAAAAAAACTTAAGCTCGCAATATTGAAGGTTGAAATTCTGAACTTATATTAATGTTTCTTCTGGGATGTTTGATATTGAAAATGAGATATATCGGCCAATTTTTTACAGTAGTCCCCATATAGCAGTATCCCAAATTTAAGGCTTTTCTTCATTTTCTTAACTAATCAGGTTTAATTAGGTGTTTTTGTTTCCCTCTGGGTGGAAACATTACGGAGAAATATTTAACATCTTAGTGCAACATTTACAAAAATCGGTCGAAACTGTATATGGGAGCTATATTGAAATCTGAACCGATTTTCCCGAAATTTCACACACATCACTCTAGGCTCAATTCAGTACGCTATGCAAAATTTCGTGCAAATAGTAAAAAATATAGGGGCTTTAATTTGGTACCCTGTAAAAATTTTAATCTCAATCGGATAATTATTAGTCACTTTATTGTACTACAATTGTGTTGTAGTTTTTTTATTTTTTTTTTTTCAAAAAATAAATTCTTTTCTATAGTGTTGTTTTTTGGATTCTTTTGTAAAATTAGTATAAGTGTAGTTAAGTCCGTTTGCATTTATGATGACGATATATTGTTATTATTTGTAGGATGTTTGGTATACCAAATGGGCCGAAAACAAATTTATTTAACAAATTATTAATACAGGTCTATGTTTTGATATAGCCCCTATATAAAGGTCCCACCCAATTTTTGGTATTATGAGGAATTTACTCACAATTTCCAACAGTATATAGGTTTTGACATAGTTTTCTATATAAAAGTGCAGCCTATTTTGAGACTTTTAAAAATATTTTTCAACAGAAAAGGTTCTAGATATACATTTTGGGGTTTTGGACGCTGGCACACATCTGTGCAGAAAAGGATCATTATAGGCTCATGTTTCGACATAGCCCCTTTATAAAGATATATATAAAAATTGTATATCCCCTATATAAAGACTAGCCAAATTTTCCAATCAAAAAGACTGGTTCTTGATAAAGAAAATACTTCGCCCCAGAAAATGTCCAATATAGGTCAATGTTTTTGTAAATACATACAGATTACTCGTCTAATATTTGTTATGTTAAAGTTCCTAGTCTCGTTTTCCAATCATAATGTCTGTAATTTGGTATTCTAAATTAGAGTGACAGTATCCATCTAAATATCCTGACTTAAAAAAGAATGTTTGAATGCACATGCATACTATTTGGCAAAAGATGGAAGTTAAAATAATTTGTGACAACTGTCGACGTGGATTATTAAGACAAAATTGAATGGATGACCCTAAAACTTTGTATGGCGGTAAAGCTCCATCCTGTGAAGATCTGTGAAGAACTGGTATAGAGAATACAGTCGAGGCTGACGCTCGCTTAAAGACGAAGGTTGTCGACAATTATTATTTACATATCCTATACAACCTAAAAGCAGTAGCTAATGTAAATATAGAAATCCATTATTTTTTCAGCAGATGGATGTACTGATAGTTTTCTATCTAAAGTGTCGATAAAACGAAGATGCAAGCCAAGCGGCTAAACTTGTTAATTGTGTGTATGGTTCAGATACTGTAACAGTCAAATTCGTGCAATTTTGGTTTCGTAGGAATTTTTGATGTTGAAGATGAACCTCGCATAGGTAGGCCGGTCGTCCAATATGTCGATAAAATCGGAGAAATTATCGATGTTGACCGGCATGTTAGCAGTCGTAATATCGCCCAAGATCTAATAATCGACCATAAAACTGTTTTAAACCATTTACAATTGGCTAGAAATGGGTAACAGGAGAGGTGTCGTGTTCCACCAGGACAACGCTAAGCCGCACACATCTAAAGTGACTCGCCAGAAACTTCAGGAGCTTTGTTGGAAGATTTTAATGGATCCGCCATACAACAATTATCATATTTTTCTTGCATTGTAAAATTTATTTAATGATAACAAATTGATATATAGGGAGGATTGTGGAAATCGACTGCTAGAGTTTTTTGCAAATAGATAGCAGCACTTCTATGTGAGAGGCATTACGACGTTACATTTAAAATGGCAACGGACATTCCGACGTATATTAAATGAAGTCCTATAGTTCATATACAAATAATGGATTTCATTTTCCCCAAACTAATATTTAAGCCATACAATTAACTTTTAGATTTTGAACAAAAATTTCTCTGGCGTTATATGAGTTAATAGTCTTTGATTTATTTTTTCTTAAAAATATGTTCTTGAAATTGAAAGGTTGTACATATATTGTTACTGCTTATAGGATGAGTGGTGCTGAAGACAAAATATAACGTTCTAAGATCAGGTAGAGGTTCCAAATTATAGTAACACTTTTTTTTCTAAATTTTGAAGGCTTTTGCCGCATTTGTTACGGAAGACGCTGTGTTATGGCATTTTGTTTACTTATTTCACAACAAGGCCTACCGAACTTAATCAGCTTTTCCCATGTTTATAGTTTTTGCTTAAGAATATGGTTTAATGTTTAGCAAATTGTTGTTAAATATTTATTTCCTTTTTCTAAAAGATAAGAGTTTGCGAAGGCATTTAAATACCCATTGTTCTAAAGAACTTGACATGAACATTCACAAGAAATGTTCACAGACAGGGACATTTTAGCTATCTTATTTAAATCCACATACCTTAATGATTTCCTAACTTCTTCATAGAATTACAATTCTCTACAAAATATTCCCATTAAATTCAATAAGTATCCCAGTGGTCCCAAAAAATCAAACACACGTGTACACATTTCATCCCACACAAGCACACACACATTCATCCCTAACTTTCATCAACAAACGGAAATAAACAATATTAGAAGGAAATCATGTTTTCAGGGTTAATAACCTTTGCTAAGACGACTAACAAATTCCGAACAACAACATCCGACACAAAAAGACAAATTTCTTAGAATCGAAGGAAGGAAAGAAATTTGGCAAAAAATAAAGTTCACAATAAGAAGTCAGTCAGGTCGGATGGCTGGCAAGAAGTCAGCACTGTCACTTTAACACATTCCCAGGTGAAATACATTACAAATGTTTCCAAAAAATTCCTATGGAGTTAAGGTTAGAAAAGGCAAGGGGTGGTATGGGGAGCATATATATCATTTATTCTTAAAGATTTCTTGTCTACCCCCCGTGGAGTGGGGAGGTATTTTATCAGTTCCATTTGTATTTTTTTTCTTTTTGGCAATTGCGTGACTTGTTGGGTTAATGCCGCTCTCTTTTCCACAGTTCCAGTTTTTTTTTTTTTGGCAAAGTCAAAATAAAGTTTTGATTTGCAACTATAACAACAACAACCTATAACTTCAACAGTATTGAGCGAAAATTTATTACGATTTAGTAACAATTACACGGATCACCGAAGGAATAAAATAAATCAAATTGTTATAAAAAAATAGGGTCTTAGTTGCTACTGAAAATAACACAAAGGAAAATAGTTTGAAAATAAATTTCGCATATTTAATAGGATGGTTCCAAAGGTAATTACTTGTTTCAGACCACATTTTCATATACTGCAAACATGATATTGAAATTTAAACATGACTTCAAATTGTTTAAGTCTTTAACATTAAAAAAATGCATCCTTGTCCTTTCAGTCCAATCCAAAGTATTTTATTTTGTCCTCTAATTTCCTAAAATTTTCGTTACATCCTAATACACATTTATTTATGTTCTAAATGTGTTTTTATTTGTCTCGACCCATTGTGTATCACGTTTAAGCCATTTATTTATTTCGTTTGGCACCCAAGGGCTAAATAATTATATCCAATTATAATGGTTAATAAATTTTTGTGAAAAAATAATTGTTTTGTGAAGTTGTTTTCGTTATCAAATAGATTTATCTAATTTATTGCCAATTAAAATAATAATAAATTATGTTTCGGTCTCTTCTCTCTTCTGCAGTACTATGAATTAATGGTTAAACACTGCCCATGGGGAAAACCAGGTGGAGGTGCCCCAAACATTGATATAAGGCGCAAGGATATAACAGCTGCTGGATTACATTCAACACAACCAATTGTGAGTATAAACAAATAAGAAAATAAAAAACTAAAATAATCATTAAAAATCCACGCCTAAAGGCCTCTTAATCCCTTAAAAAATATTCTTTAAAAATCCACGCCTAAAGGCCTCTTAATCCCTTAAAAAATATTCTTTAAAAATCCACGCCTAAAGGCCTCTTAATCCCTTCAAAAATATTCTTTAAAAATCCACGCCTAAAGGCCTCTTAATCCCTTCAAAAATATTCTTTAAAAATCCATGCCTAAAGGCCTCTTAATCCCTTCCAAAATATTCTTTAAAAATCCACGCCTAAAGGCCTCTTAATCCCTTCAAAAATATTCTTTAAAAATCCATGCCTAAAGGCCTCTTAATCCCTTCAAAAATATTCTTTAAAAATCCACGCCTAAAGGCCTCTTAATCCCTTCAAAAATATTCTTTAAAAATCCATGCCTAAAGGCCTCTTAATCCCTTCAAAAATATTCTTTAAAAATCCACGCCTAAAGGCCTCTTAATCCCTTCAAAAATATTCTTTAAAAATCCATGCCTAAAGGCCTCTTAATCCCTTCAAAAATATTCTTTAAAAATCCACGCCTAAAGGCCTCTTAATCCCTTCAAAAATATTCTTTAAAAATCCATGCCTAAAGGCCTCTTAATCCCTTCAAAAATATTCTTTAAAAATCCACGCCTAAAGGCCTGTTAATCCCTTCAAAAATATTCTTTAAAAATCCACGCCTAAAGGCCTCTTAATCCCTTCAAAAATATTCTTTAAAAATCCACGCCTAAAGGCCTCTTAATCCCTTCAAAAATATTCTTTAAAAATCCACGCCTAAAGGCCTCTTAATCCCTTCAAAAATATTCTTTAAAAATCCATGCCTAAAGGCCTCTTAATCCCTTCAAAAATATTCTTTAAAAATCCACGCCTAAAGGCCTCTTAATCCCTTAAAAAATATTCTTTAAAAATCCACGCCTAAAGGCCTCTTAATCCCTTAAAAAATATTCTTTAAAAATCCACGCCTAAAGGCCTCTTAATCTCTTAAAAAATATTCTTTAAAAATCCACGCCTAAAGGCCTCTTAATCCCTTAAAAAAATATTCTTTAAAAATCCACGCCTAAAGGCCTCTTAATGCCTCCAAAAATATTCTTTAAAAATCCACGCCTAAAGGCCTCTTAATCCCTTAAAAAATATTCTTTAAAAATCCACGCCTAAAGGCCTCTTAATGCCTCCAAAAATATTCTTTAAAAATCCACGCCTAAAGGCCTCTTAATCCCTTAAAAAAATATTCTTTAAAAATCCACGCCTAAAGGCCTCTTAATGCCTCCAAAAATATTCTTTAAAAATCCACGCCTAAAGGCCTCTTAGTGCCTCCAAAAATATTCTTTAAAAAATCCACGCCTATAACTGACATGGTGCCTCCAAAAATATTCTTTAAAAAATCCACGCCTATAACTGACATGGTGCCTCCAAAAATATTCTTTAAAAAATCCACGCCTATAACTGACATGGTGCCTCCAAAAATATTCTTTAAAAAATCCACGCCTAAAGGCCTCTTAATGCCTCCAAAAATATTCTTTAAAAATCCACGCCTAAAGGCCTCTTAATGCCTCCAAAAATATTCTTTAAAAATCCACGCCTAAAGGCCTCTTAATGCCTCCAAAAATATTCTTTAAAAATCCACGCCTAAAGGCCTCTTAATGCCTCCAAAAATATTCTTTAAAAAATCCACGCCTATAAGGCCTCTTAATGCCTCCAAAAATATTCTTTAAAAATCCACGCCTAAAGGCCTCTTAATGCCTCCAAAAATATTCTTTAAAAATCCACGCCTAAAGGCCTCTTAATCCCTTAAAAAATATTCTTTAAAAATCCACGCCTAAAGGCCTCTTAATCCCTTAAAAAATATTCTTTAAAAAATCACGCCTAAAGGCCTCTTAATCCCTTAAAAAATATTCTTTAAAAATCCACGCCTAAAGGCCTCTTAATCCCTTAAAAAATATTCTTTAAAAATCCACGCCTAAAGGCCTCTTAATTCCTTCAAAAATATTACTTAAGGCCTCATATACTAAGGCCTCATTCTCCCTTAAAATTTTAAATAAATCCGAACCTGATTTTTAAAATCCTTTATTTCAGAGTACAACCCATCGTTTGGCCTCACTGCCTCCCTGTCGTTTCAGTGATTATTTTCTCAAACACAAACGATGCTTCGATCCCGGTGCAGCCTATCATCCGCATCACTATCATCATCATTCGGTGCCACGTCTGACCACTCACACCCATACAGTCCAGCATGTATCCGATCGTCCGGTAATAGGTGGGGCCACCAGTATGGTAACCTTGTGTGATATACCCACAACAGCTACCAGTGGAGCTGGTGGTCCAACACCTGCTGGTGGTAAGAATGCCGAAAGTTTACAAATCACCCTTAAAGATCACCCCTCAATGTCGTTTCGTAATAAAGGTCATGTAGACATTGAAGTCCGTTATAAGCCGACAGCGGCCGGTAAGGGTAAACCAATGTTGGAGAAAATTGTAGTCACCGAAAGTGATAAATGTCCAATTGTAGAAGAGAAACGGGGCTGTGGGGCTTCAGTGGGTCCACATGGTTTGAAGCAGAAGAAAACGTTGGAGAAAATCGAGAAACCGGTGAGAATGGTTTACTGCATGCCCATGTGTGTACGCTTGTGATATTATTTGTTGTTGTTTTTCTTGTTCTTCTCCTCCTTTTTCTTCTTTCTATGTTTGGTATTTTGTATTAGGCTAGCAAAGATCCCTGGGGTAAACCGGGTCCGGGTGGCAAACCATGGCGTAGTCCCAAATCGGTGGGAACGACTTTTATGAAGTCACTGGTATGTTGGGAGGGAAGTAGGGATTTTCGAACGGGACCAGTAATAAGAGTCCCCACCATTCGTGGTAGATGACTATGCGGTTTCATTGTTTCCTATATAATTTTTCTTATAAGTTAGATTATCCTTGTAAAATCTTATGAAATCTCTCTTTTTTATTTCAGGGTTGGACCAACAAAGAAATGCTCAAAGAATTGGATCAGGATAATCCCGTTACCCCAGCCGAAAAGCCCACATTCCGTAAATCCCGTGCCACACGAAAAGCCACCCGCTGTTGTGACATGTGTACATGTAAGTGCCCGGCCATGACAAGTAGTCCCATTAAACCGCTACAAAAAACTGCAGCACCTGCAAAATCGACAATAACAGCAGCAAATGAAACGAAACCGAAAATCTGTCCACGAATGATGCGTCATAACAAGGCTGCTGCCACTGCTGATACCACAACTGATAATAGCGCTCA